ATATGTAAATATTTATGCCTTTTGCCTAATTTTGTTTTGAGTAGTTCATAGTTTTCTTGTGGATATGTAAAAGTTCTTTATATATTAAGTAAATAACTCTTTTTTTCTGTTATTTGTTCTGCAGATATTTTCTCCCACTTTTCATTTGTCTTTTGACTTTTTTTTTTTTCATTTTGCCATACATAATTTTTAATTCTTTATATGGTAAAAATCTACCAAACTTTTCTTTCATAACATCTGTATCTTCTTTTTGAAAAAGCTTTTTAAACTACCTAAATGCTTTTTCCCCAGTTTTATTGAGATGTAGTTGACATATAAGACTATATAAGTTTGATGTGTACAGCATAATGATTTGATAGATGGATGACATCCGTCCTCTCACATAGTTACAGATTGCTCTGTGTGTAGCTATAGATTTGGTGTGTTTGTAAGTGGTCGTGAGTTCAGGAGCCTCCTGTGTCACCATTGTGGACTGCTCCCTCCGTAAATGCTTTTTTTTTTTTTTAAAGATTTTATTTATTTATTTTTTTTCCCCCCAAAGCCCCAGTAGATAGTTGTATGTCACAGCTGCACATCCTTCTAGTTGCTGTATGTGGGATGCGGCCTCAGCATGGCCGGAGGAGCGGTGCGTCAGTGCGCACCCGGGATCCGAACCTGGGCTGCCAGCAGCAGAGCGCGCGCACTTAACCGCTAAGCCACGGGGCCGGCCCCTCCGTAAATGCTTTTACAAATTTATTTTGGGGTACTATTAAGAATTTCTTTGAATGTCCTTAAAAATAAGTTAATCTTGTTGCTATTACTTTGGAGTGGCATAAATTACTGAGCAGTAGGCTTTCAACCTGAGTGTCTAGACACTAACTTAATTGTGAAATTGAGCCATGTCATTTGGTGTTGAAGAAAATTCTTCTCTCCCCACCTCATGGATAACATGCTCCTCAAAAGTGTCTTTTCTGGTATGTCTACAACTATTGCTTTTATAAGTACTTTTATGTGCAACTTTTCAAAAAAAGCTTCTTTTGTGTAAAATGTGTTGTTAGTCTTAAATTAGCTAAGAGTTTTCATCCTTGCTTCTTTCACCCTTTCTTGTGCCCTGTCTGTCCTCCCACCCCCTCCACTCCCAAATTACTGGGGGCAGTTTCTTTGAAGGCACATCAGATCATTTGCATATTTTCAACAAAATAGTGTTGAAAAAAGAACATACAGTCTTTTTAGTCTAAATTTCTTTCCATTCAGAAGAAAGCTTATATAATGAGTTGACCTGTAACAAGGCAAAGTAAATATACACGAACTCCATATAGGATCTTTTTTATTGTGTTTACTTGCTATGGGAAGGAGCTATTTGTTGATGTTTTGTTAAATAGGATGGCAGTATTTTGCAGAGAGCGTCTTTTTAAAAGTCCTTCTTGTAGCAATCAAGTTTCTTCTCAGACATTCTCTGGAAGTAGAGAGGCAGCCCTGGAACAGCCTAGAATCAGTCAGACTTGGATTTGAGTCTGGGGTACTACTGTTGTTATAAGTGACCTTGAGTTGGTTGAGTAAAATGGGGAAAATAGCACCTTGATTAAAGGAGATGATCACTGTAAAGTACCCAGCACATGGTAGGTATCCACACACTGTAGTTGTGTTAGTTCTTTCTTGCTATCTCTCCCTCTTCAGAATTCATTTGCCTCCCCAACCCTACCCCACCCATCAAAGAGTGATGAAGATATGGTTTCAGTTTGGGAATGTTTTATCTTTAGGACCTTTCAAAACAGTTATTTGAATGTCTGGGTATGTATGTATTCTAGTATTTTCTATATAAAATAACAAATAGTCTGGGCTTAGGCATCTGGATATCCTACAGATTTTTTTTGTGATATGAATGATGCTACTGCCTCCTCCTAGAGTTCTCGCCGTCTGACCATCCAAATCCTTCTTATCTTTTGTAGTCCAGTTACAAGGCCCAGATACTAGGGTGCCTTTGGGATGCTTCCCGCAGGCCAGGGGAATTGAACACTCCTCTGGGTTCTCCCAGGTCTGTCCTTAGCACTTAAACTGTACTCTAGTTCTGTAACTGTACTCTAGTTCTGTATCTGTGACTCACTCCTTTTGTTCTTCCAGAGCAGGACCAGATTCCATGCGTTTTTGTATCTTCTGCACAGTTATCCTGGCCATTAGTGATGTGTGAATGATTCTTAAGCTGTATGATTTTAGACAGGTCACTTAAACATTGAGACTTAATTTCCTCATCTGTAAAATGTGGCTTTTTCTCTTCTGGACATTCTGCTTCAATTACTCTCACCAAGCTCACCAGTAAAGTTGCAGTTGCCAGATTAGGTGGACTTCACGCCCTGTGACATCTGATAATGACCACGGCCTCTTGAGTCTCCCTTCTCCCTTCCCACCCACAGTCTACTCTTCTGCTTGCTGCTGTTACTTGGCCCCGGATGTGACTGTTGCAGGTCTGTAGGATTCTGCCCTAGGGCTTCTCATCTTTCTGTAGCTCTTCTTCAGCTATGTCCATTACTCCCAGAGTCCCATCTGCCATGCTGGCTCCAGACCTGTCTTCCAACCATCTTCAGTGTGCACTGAAGTGTGCACTTGTTCCCTGGGCACTCTCAAGCTGAGCATACCTGAGGGAGAGTTCTTTCTCCCCCTGAAGCCTGCTCTTCCTCCTGCATTGCTCTGTCTTGATTCATGTCATCATCTATTAGTGACTTGTTGCCTTTCCCATTCTCTCGTGCGCTTGCTTGTCTAGTGACTGGCAATTCTGTGGCCTGAGTGTTCTTTGAATTGGTTTTCTCTGTCTCCCTGCGACTTCAGGCCCTCCTTTCTCGAGGAGACTGAAACAGCAGCCTCCTAACCTATTGCTACACACTCCTTATTCTGTTCCTTCCTTTGCAGAAGCAGAGGATGGATCACATCGCTTTCTTACTTTAAAAATCTTCAGTGGTTTTTCATCCCTTGTGGGCTCAACTGTGAATGCCTGAGCATGACATACAAAGCCCCTCACTTTATGAACGCCCCCTGTGACCTCATCTCCCACCATTCCCTGCCCACACTGTGCTCTGTTGCATTTTCATGCCTCAGTGCTACCTGCGTATCTTTTTTTTTCCTACTTAAAATGCTTTTCCCTTATTTTTCAACACAGTAGTTCTCACTCTTTGAGGATTATCAGGACCTGTTTATTTATTTTTTTTAATATGGTCTTTTGGGCCGACCCATAAAGTTTTAGATTTAGTGTCTGGATTGAGGCCTGGTCTGATGTTCTTTATCTGTAAGATGACAGTGTTGAAATGGATGTTTACAAAGATATTATAAAATTCCATGTGTCATTGGTCCTAGAATGCTTCTATAATAATCACACTTTGTTTTATATTATATAAATATACAAAAATGAAAAGAGAGAGAGGGAGGGAGAGGGAGAGAGAAGCTCCTCAGATGGTTGTAGAGATCAGCTGTGATTAGGAACTCTCATGTCACCTACTTTGTGGCATTCACCCCTTCGTGCTCTTTCCTTTGTGGTGTTCTTAAAGCCCTTTCTATATAACCTTCAAACAGACACTTTAATAAGTGAGTTGAAGTTCCTTGTGCACGTGTTTGCTTTTCTCATTAGGTTCTAAAGTCACCAAGGACCAGCACTGGGACTTAACGCTTTTTCTGATTTCCTATGCTTTGCCCATAGTAGATGCTCTATAAATTTTTGTTGAATTAAGAGAGATTTGAAAGAAAGTCTTGAAAATGTAAGAAGCTTTGTAGATGGTTATTAATATCAAGAATATTCATTTTTCTCATGTATTTACTTTTTGCTTAGTTAAAAAACACGTTGTTAGAATCCTTTAGGAGGAAAAAAGTGCTTAGAACCTGTTGGAATGACAGTTTGTTGGTATGGAGTCTAACTGTTTCAAAGAACAATGGTCTGTTAGACAATGTGCAACAATGTTCAACTGTTCTTCTTCCTGTAATGCAAGAAAAGCACATAGTTGTCTGTGTCTTTAGGCAGAGATGTCTCTGTGGATCTCTGTAGTATCTACATGTAGGTAGTGTGATTGTCCATAATTGAGGAGCCTGAAGCAGTGATTTTTTTTGTTGTTATGTGTTTTTTGAAAGTTCTTAATGTCAAGTGGGTTTTTTCCTTTTATTTATAGATTTTTAAGACATATTTTCCTTAACCTTCCATGAGAATATATTTCATAAGAGAAATGGAGATTTTCTCGAGTCCTTAAATACTGTAAGAGATTCGTATTCTTAGCCTTTTACTTGATCATTTTGCCAGGGCAAAAGAAAAGTTAGGGGGAGAAAAGAGCAGCAGCAGTATTACCAGCATGTAGTTCATTCCCCAAGTTAAGAGCAGTATAGTTCCTAGTGAGTTAGGAGGAAACTTAATAATTGACATTGTGGCCTGGGAGTGAATGTTTTCCCTCGTGGCTTTCTGAAGGTTCCTTTCTGTTGTCGTTCATCCATTTGTCCCCCGAACCCATCCTGGAGATCCCCCAGAGCTGAGACATTTGGCTGTCACTGTTTCACAAGTGGTGGTTTTAGACCAGCTGACACCCCTGCCAGAGATGGCTACGGAACTCCAAATGGAAGAGGGTGCATTCCGCGAGACCTGCGGGATCTTGATCTTGACCCAGAAGATTTTTGAAGAAACTTGGAGGTCTTCTTTTCTACCAGTTATAGGGCCACCACATCATTTAAACAAGTTTCTCTGTCCCTCACACCATAGTGTGCTTTCCATTTCTATGTCTGCACTCCTGTGTCTTCCAGATTCTTCCAGGTGCCCCTCAGGCCTCTCGCCAGCTGGACGCCACCTGACCCTCTAGTATGCATCAGCCCATCACTTTGAACTTGAGGCTATCATCCCTGGGAAGGCCCTTGATTTTTGTTTTTGTTTCTTTTGTAAACTGGGTGATTGTAATTTTGTATAACCTTGGTCTTTTTGTCCTGAGAATTTAAATGTGCTGTCAAATGAAAAATTCAAGTCTGTGTTGCTAATATGAAATTTTAATTTTTCTTTACAGGTCAACTTTGTAGTGTGCCAACTTTTTGCCTTGCTAGCAGCCATTTGGTTTCGAACTTACCTACATTCAAGCAAAACTAGCTCTTTGATAAGACATGTTGTTGCCACCCTTTTGGGCCTTTATCTTGCACTTTTTTGCTTTGGATGGTAAGTAATTATTTTGATCATATTTAAATGAAGGCTTTGGATATCTTTGTGAATTGAATTTGTGGAAAGATACATTATGTGGGGTTTTGTTCTTATATTTACTTATAAAGTTTTATATGTATACATATATATGCCAACTTTTTAATTTTTATTTTTAATAGAAAAAATAAAGAATTGGAGAATGTACTCTGTCTCTTCGGTTTGGGCTCAGAGGGGAATTTGCTATTTAGAATTTATGAAAAATGACAGATGGAGAAAAAAGACAGAAAGACATTTTATTCTGTTACAAGTAGTTCTTTTCACCTACTTTGCAAATTTTTTATGCCAAGACAAATAAACCATTTAAAATAGTTTTTTATTTCTGTGCAAGTGCTTCTAGGAGTCTGGTAAAGCCCACTGATAGAACTCTATTACGATTTTTTAGATTCTACCATTAGCAAAAAGAGGTTTTTGTTTGTTTTTGGTGGAGAAGAATTATTTATGAAGGAAAGCTTTAATTTATGACCCTTCAGATGCTCTGTGTGTATGTGTTTCCTTCACTTAGCTGCCTTCTTCATTGTCAGGGCTGCCCCAAGAGCTTGGAATAAACACACACCATCCTTCCTGTTTGTTACTGGTGACTGTGGTTGTGTGACAGAGAAATCAGGAGAAGAACACACTGTCTTGGCAAAGCAGCAGACACTTTCAATGGAAGGGGTTCTTCGTGATTTCATCTGAATTTTCCTTCTTAACTGAGAGCTTTTGCTGCTTGCTCATTTGCTATCTTGTATACACACTCATAGAAAAGGCTTTCTAGCTTTGCTCTTGTGCAGACTCTTGTTTGGGATGAAAATTCCCTGAGAGGATGAAAATGCACTTACTTAATCTGTGGTTTGGTAGTTTCTGTTGTGGCGGGTGGAGTCTGTGGGTCTTTGATAATGCCTCTGTGTTTGTTCTAGGATGTTGTTTTTGGTTCTTATGAGGGTTGGAATATACTGGTATTTCTTAATCTAATTTTTGCCTCTGTCAATTGAAAATGTTTCCTAGAAACTCAGGGAAAACCAATCAGGGATAATTTCTTCAGTCTCTACCATGTTGCTGTGTGACCAGCCCTCTGAGGGCACTGCTGGTGGTGGGTATGTGTGTAGGCTTGAGATTTAAATAGGATCTCTTCAATAGGGTCCAAATATGGTCTTGCTTCTTCCTTGGTAACATCAAATTTATATCATCAAAGTGTTCTGAGATTTCTCAGATGAACTATTTAAACTTCTTGTGAATCATGCCATGGGGGTATATATATGTATTTAAAACTTTATTACGGAACTTTTCAAATACAGAAGTACAGAGAATAATATAATGAACCCTCATATACCCATTACCCAGCTTCAACAATTATTAAAATTCTATCGTGCTTACTTGATCCTTTCCCCAGCTTATTTTTGTTTATTTATTTTTTTGTGAGGAAGATCGGCCCTGAGCTAACATCTGCCAATCCTCTTCTTTATTGGCTGAGGAAGACTGGCCGTGGGCTAGCATCCGTGCCCATCTTCCTCCACTTTAGATGGGATGTCGCCACAGCACGGCTTAACAAGCCGTGCGTCCGTGCGCGCCCGGGATCAGAACCGCCGAACCCCGGGCCGCCGCAGCAGAGCACGTGCACTTAACCTCTTGTGCCACCGGGCTGGCCCCTCCCCAGCTTATTTTTCTGGAGTATTTTCATGCATATCCCAGTCTACACATTTCACTTATAAATACTTCAGTATTCAGAGTGTATTTGGGTAGCCTATTTTAAGGAGGGGCTGGGGAAGGCTTGTAATTCACAGTGGCCGACTCCACTACACCACTTACACTGTGGTCTGTAAACAGAGGATTGAAACGTGAGTAGGACCTCCTGGGGTTGTGGGATGTGGAGCACATGTGGCTCTTTCCTTCGAGGTCTTGGTTGAGGAGGTGTTTTCTTGCTGTGAAGACTTCTCAGATGCTTTATAACACAGTGTTGTGAGGAACCTGACCTTAATGTCAAGTAGTCCTAAGTGTTTCAAATCACATGTGATGACCAGGACTTTTATTTATTTATTTATTTTTGTGAGGAAGATCGGCCCTGAGCTAATATCTGCTAATCCTCCTCTTTTTGCTGAGGAAGACTGGCCCTGGGCTAACATCCGTGCCCATCTTACTCTACTTTATATGGGACACCGCCACAGCATGGCTTGAGAAGCGGTGCGTCGGTGCATGCCTGGGATCCAAACCGGCGAACCCCAGGCCTCTGCAGCAGAGCGCGCGCACTTAACCGCTTGCGCCACCGGGCCGGCCCAAGGTTTTTTTTTAAATAGAATTCTCTATTCTTTTCTTGAAGGAGACACTTGATATTTTTTTCTTTGAGAAGCAAGATTGTTTGTGCCTCTGTACCAGGTGTAAAATAACTCTTTTCTCGTTGGAATGAGTGGGGAAGAAGAGTATCCTTTCAATTTGCATTTTTAGCACTTTGTTTTTAGGCTTAAAGGCAGTCATATCTGCTGCTGATTTTGACCACTTCCCTTTTGGAAGATATATATTAGCACTGTAAATATAATTGATTATTTTACCTGCTTCTATTTGGTCTCAGCTTTGTTTTTTTTTAAACTATCATCTCCAGATTTCTTTTAATTGAGAATTTGCTTACACTTTTAATTATTTATTTAACTGTCTTTGATAAGAGTACAGGGTAATGGAATAGAGCTTAGCCTCTGAAGTCAGACAGACCTGGATTCCACCCTGGGTGTCTTGGCCTGGTAACTGTGTGACTTTGGACATATTATTCAACCCTTCTTAGCTTCACTTTTTCCACCTGTAAAATGGAACCAATGATTATTGTGGGGACCAAAGGATGTAATACTACAGTTAGGAGCTTAGCACAATACCAGCTGCTTGTAAGCCTGGCAAGTTACTCAGGATCAAGACCATTATCATCATTATCGTCCGTCATTTCCGTCATCCACTTGGTGGTCCAGATTAGAAATTTTTGTTTATCTCATCTCTTTTTTTAGTGTTTATCATACAGTATTAAAGTAATCTGTTGATTTGTGTGTCTTTCTCTCCAGACTGGAAGCTCTTTGAGGACAGAGACTGTGTCCGTGGACTCTATCCCCAGGGTCCAGTACAGTGCCTTTCAGAAAGTAGACATTCAGGAAAGATCGGTTGAACAGTCAAAGAGATACTTCTCAACCTTTTTAGACTTGTGTTCTTTTTTGCTAAAAATAAATTTTATGCCTGCCTTTAGTGTGATTTGAAACTCAAAATAAGTAAAATGTGGTATCTAAAAACAAACTGAAGTTTGGGATAAAGGATTGTTTTGTTTTCAAAGTGCTTAGGCAGCTTGAAAGAGGATGGTACATGGTCCATGGGGTTCCACTCCACCCCACCCCTTGAAGAATCAGCCAGTGGATAAATTGCCCAGAAAGTCTTAATGTCTGTCAGGGTACTCACTAGATTTATGACCTTAGGATATAGTTCCTCAACTCTAAAATGATGAAGGTTGGATTGTAATAGACTTTTAAGATACCATCTATCTTGAATTTTTACTTTACCAAGAATACTTAATAATTGAGTGCTTACTGTGTGCCAGATAATGCAGTCAACACTTTTCATGTCTTATCTCTTAATCCTGAAAAACATTAAGTGGCTACTATGTATTTTTTATGCTCATTTTACTAATGAGGGCAAGTGGAGTAGCTGCGAATGGGAAATTATGAAGAAAATCACCGGTGCTGAAAATGAGTAGAAGAGCAACTTGATGCTTGTCATGGAGATCAATGAGACAGAGGTGACTACAGATCAGCTCTGAACGGACAACCTTATATTATCACAGTAACAAAGGCTTGTACAACAGGAGGCTGGCAAAGTGTTATATTACCCCACAAAAGATTACCAAGCACGTTGTCTGAACGGTGATGCCAGGGGAGTGGGCATCTTAAGGTGACATAAGGAACCATGGCACTGTTGGAGAAAGACAACTCTTAGCTTCTAAAGTTGTCATATATCCCTGTGTTCCAAGGAAATTTAATCATAGAAAAGGAAAAATATTTCCCCAAGAGTCCTCAAAAATTGTTTTTGTTTAAGACAAGTATCTTTAATGAGTTCTACTCTCCATTAATAAAGCCTTACAAGTATCTAGCAGTCCTCTTCAGCATTTTCCAACATTGTTTTCGTGTGTGTGTGTGTGTGAGGTAGAGGGAGAGACAGACTGACCAACATACTCTGTGCAATGGGTAAAATAAGTTTCTTATATGGGCCTGCCTTGGAGCCTACTTCTTATTTATAATATCTCTATGGAAAAATTTGTTCAAAAATTTAAGTAGCTTTTCCACATTGGAGATGCCTGTTATTCCATAATGATTAGGTTAAAAATAATTTTAATCATAGGTTAAGATCCTTATTAATACTTTAAATTGTGTACAGTGATTTGAAAATTTTTTCATATATTATTTGTGCCATCAAAGGGGAAAGAAAATTGAAAGAGTGTGTGTGTGCGTGCACGTGTATGCATAATCTTAGGCATAGTTTGGTTTGATTTTAAAACCGGAGATCCTAATCTTGTTTTGCCTGAATTTTGTGAAATGAATGGATAAATTAGTTCTGTCATTAATGGTGGATTTCTACATTAGAACATTAGAAAATACTGTGTCATGTTAGCAAAATGTTCTGTAGGTAGATTACTGCAAATTAAGGATTGACTAGATTTGTACAAGGAAGCTTATTTGACTTGAGCCATCACGTTTTCAGAATAAATAGATTTGGGTGTACCTGCTTTTTAGTTAATTCTAATATTTAGTACTTTTTGTTGAGTAATACTTGAAAAGGTAAACACAGAGTGTAAAGCCAATATTGGAGAACTTAGTTTGGGTAAACAAATAATTGGTGTTCTGTCAGGAGTATTCTGAAATCCAGATTTATTACTCCTTTTCATTACTGTGCCTTAAATTATGGAAAAAGCTGTAATCTTCAAGCCACATAACCGCACAGTGCTTGCATATAGCTAGGAGACATGGAATTCCGGGGCCTGAGTGTGGCTTTATGGGGTTTTGTTTTATTTTTTCCAGCTCTTCTGGGGCTTGAGGTATGGGACACCCTCTCCAGAGTGTTCACAGAATTTTAGGCTTTAGAGGTTTGATTCCTTATTTTTTCACCTGGGGAAGTTCTGTGTTATACATAAGCACTTTTTATCCTAAAGTGTTTTAACTTGATGTTTGTGAATGAGCGTCTTTCTTCTAACAATGCTGTCACTTTTTATAGGTATGCCTTACATTTTCTGGTACAAAGTGGAATTTCCTACTGTATCATGATCATAATAGGAGCGGAGAACATGCACAAGTAAGTGTTTACTTTCTTCACTTATAAATAGGTATTTCACTATAATAGAATTAGATCAAAATAGAATTTTATTACATTAAAAATTATTGTAAATTGTGGTAACTTTTTCAAGAAGAACTATCATAAATACAAAAATAAAATCATTGGTATACATCACTCTTCAGTGTACTTAAAGCAGGGTTTCTCAACCTCAGCATTACTGACATTTTAGGCTGGATAATCTTTGATGTGCAAGACTGTCCTGTGTGCTGTAGGATAGGCAGCATCCCTGACCTCTACCCATTAGATGCTAGTAGCACCAACCCCCACAAGTTGTGACAACTATGAATGTTTCCAGATATTTTCAAATGTCTTTTGGGGGGCAAAACCTTCAGTTAAGAACCACTGGCTTAGTCTAGGGGTGACAGCAGTGGAGAGAGAGAATGAGGCGAATAGATTGGAGAGAGATTTAGAAGGTAAATTTGGAAGGACTTAGTGATCGATGGGAAGTGCAGGTAGGAAGAAAGTTGTCAAGGGTGACTTTGGGTTCCTGGCTTGGATGATAGGGTAGATGGAAGCACCATTTTTTTAGGTAGGGAACCCTGGAGCTGGAGAACATGTTTAGGGGATAAGCATTTCAAGCAGGTTTATATTCAGCACCTGAAACAGCGCTTGATATGCAGTAACTCAACGAATATTTGCTGAATAAATGAATGTTGACTTCAAAGTATCTGTGAGACATACAGTGGAGCTGGTAGCTGAGTGTAGAGGTCTGGGCCAGAGGTGTAAATTGGGGAGTAGAGGTGTGTAAAACTTACTTGGTTGAACACCGAGGGCAGAGTGTAACCAGCAGATCCTGCCAGCAGATCTTGCTGTGGGCGGTTCCATAATATCTGTGATGGCACGTGCACTGTGTTTCTGAATTCTGAAATACATATGGCTCCCAGAGTTTTGCACAAGGAATCAGGGACCTATAGCTAATGGACTAGCTTTTTTCTAAATCTCGTTGTATTTTGCATATTCAGTGTTTGACCTGGTGGTCACCCCCTGTTTCGATGTGCTGTCTTCTCTCAGTTTCCATTGACGCCACCTGCACTGGCTTTCCTCTTCCTTCTCTTCACCAACACTTACAAATTCTTTATGTTTTCATCTAATTTTTATAAGAGAAGTAAAATATTTTGATGGTGTTTCAGGTGAAGCAGTTTTTATACCATTATAACCCTATTTTTAAAATCTTGTACAGATGACAGGTTCAAAGTAATACTGTATTTAATATCTGATTAAAAAAAAAAAGAATCGTATGTTTTTAATCTGGATAATAGAAGGAAACCTGATTAGATTACTGAAGACAGAGGACTTATATATTACTGTATAAACAAAAGTGATATCATGCTTTTAAATTGGAAGGTTAGTAAATTCATATTTAGTCAAAGGAAATTGTTTCTTTTCCTGAAAGGCAATGGCAGTCTGTGAAGTTAACTTTATAAGACGTTAGACCTGCACCGTCCAGTGTGGTAGCCATTAGCCACATGTACCCATGTAAATCTAAATTATTAAAATTTAAAATGCATTTGCTCGTTCACACTAGCCACGTTTCAAGTGCTTGGTAGCACAGGTGGCTAATGGCTACTGTACTGGAAGGTGCAGATGGACAACGTTGCTGTCATCTCAGAAAGTTCTGTTGGATAGTGTAGCTTGAGAGACACAGAGTTGTATAAAATTCGTTATGTTACTCTTTTATAGTAAGTGTTCAAGAGGAAAGTGCTGCCTGCATATATATGCCGCTGATATTTAAAATAGGATATCAGTGTTGGAATTGACACTATTGGTAAGCATATTAGGCTAGATAAGGGTTTGCCTTATTTGTTGCTACTGTTGGCAGTAAAGAAGTGGGTAGTTAATTTGAAAAGTGTATATTTTAATCTCTTGTAGCTCCTTTTATACCCATATGTGTTTTTCTGTTTGACTTTACTTTTTCTTTCTTGTCGTCCATATATGCTTGTTTTTTTTCACCTAGGCCTTTACATTAATTTAAAATGTTTAATGGGTCAGACCTTAAGAATTTCACTTAAATATACTAGATGGGAATTAGAGCATTCCTGTGTGTCATCCAGAGTTACTGTTTATGTCTAACACAGTTCTGTTTATTTCTTCCAGTCTAGTTTTACATGGTATGTCTAACATATTTCTTTGAACAGCCAGGCTTTAAATCTTTAAAATGAAGGATTTAGACTTCCTTGAGTACTTTACCGTTTAAAAATTCCTGAATTTCTCTGCTTTATGTCCTTGATAAGATATTTGTAGTGTAGTTGTTGCACTCTCTATAACAGATCCTTGTGTAAGTTAAAATATTTCAATATAAGCTTCATTTAACCCTTCATTTGACACTCAGATATATGCTGTATTATTCTGAACAATATCTAGATAATTTATCTTTAAAACTTAATCTATTTTAGAATTCAGTGCTTTTTCTAGTCTGTATTTTCATATAAGCCTGGAAATTTTTGAGGAAAAAAAATTGAAAACCTTTAAGTGATAGAGACAAAAAGAAAAGAGTATTTAGGGAGAGAATGTCCTATATATTAGAATATTCTCCTTAATTAATGTTGGGAGAAGTTAACTTTTACCATATTTGCCCAGCATTCTGAGAGCAGGTTTGGCAAACTGTCCATAAAGGACGAGAGAGCAAATATGTCAGACTTTGCAGGACACACAGCCTCTGTCACAGCCATGCAGCTCTGTTGCTGTAACGCACAGTAAGCCATGGACAATATGAACAAGTGAGCGTGTCTGTGCTTCCATCAGACTTTATCTACAAAAACAGGTGGTGGACTATGTTTGGCCACCCCGTATCCTAAGCAGACTCATGCCACAGGGATTTTAAAAGAGAGAGGGAGGCAGACGCTCTTCCTACTGGTTTCAAAAATATGAAATAAGTTTGTTTGCTGGATGATAATTTTAAACTTGCTATAGCACAAATAGTGGACTATAAGAACTTTGTTTATTAACAATTTACTCAGGACTGTTGTTCTGAAGCAGATGATTTCTAAAAAGCTGAGTAAAATATTGGCCTTTTTCTTGGTTTTGCTTTTATGGAAGAGAAAGTTCTTTCCCTTATGAAAGGGAAGTGAAATAATGCAGGACCTGATGTCTACCACTTAATGTGATAATGAAAAATATTTTATTCAAAAAATTATAAAGGAAATAGTAAAATCACAGGATATAAGAGCAATATACAAAAATCAGTTTTATTTTTGTATATTAGAAATGAACAGTCCAAAAGTGAAATTTTAAAAAATTCATTCACAGTGGCATCAAAAAGAATAATATGGGGCCAGCCCCGGTGGCCTAGTGGTTAAGTTTGGCACACTCCACTTCGGTGGCCTGGATTTGGTTCCTGGGCATGGACCTACACCACTTGTCTGTCAGTTGCCATGCTATGGCAGCGGCTCGCATACAAAAACAGGAAGATTGGCAACAGATGATAGCTCAGGGCAAATCTTCCTCAGCAAAAATAATAATAATAATAATATGCTTAGGAATAAATTTATTAGAAGAAGTGCAAGACCACTACACTGAAAATAAAAATCATTGCTGAGAGAAATTAAAGAAGACCTAGCTAAATGAAGAGATGTACCACGTTCATGGATTGGAAGACTCAATATTATTGGTAGAGCAATTCTCCCACAATCGGTAAATAGATTCAATGCAATTTCTGTCACAATTCCAGCAGGCCGTTAGTTGCAAAACTGACTATATAAATTCACTAAAACTTGTTGAATTGTACACTTAAATCAGGTGAGTTTTATGGCGTGTAAATTTTACTTCAATAAAGCTGTTAAAAAGATAGTATTATAAAGGAAGTGCAAGAAGGAAGATCAGTATTAAAATAGCACACGTTTTGAAGGTTGGTTTAAGGATTTTGTATATTTTCTCATTTAAGAAAACTTATAGATGTTCATAAGCATCCACACTTTTCTGAGTTTAGTTGTAAGAATGAAGGGTCAAAAGGAACATTGCAAACCTAGAGTGCCCTCAAAGGAAGGAAATCTAGATGTTGAAGGGGAGACATGAAGCTATCTTTAAATATCGAAAGGGAATATATAGGCTGCTCTTTGGAGCACTAAGATGGAATTGGTACTGCTAATTGACGTATGAAGAGGCACATGTTTGGTCCAAAGAAGGACGGCCTCGGTTATAGTGAGAATATTCAACAGTGTGATTTGTGAGCTACTGCATTTGTGATTGGAGATATTTAAATAGTAGATGCTTAGGAGACACTTTGGTTTGGATGCTGTAGGAGATAGCACCAGATGCCGTCTAAATTCTCTTCTGATCGTAGCTCCTTACAAGCCACTGTTGGAGGTGCTGGAGCCACAGAATGTGAGATATTTATGAGTAGTTATTTTTTTCTTAAATCCATACAGGACCCTAAGTAAAATTGAGAAGTTTTATAATTTCCGTATTGACTGTCTCCATTTTCTCTCTCTTTTATGCCTTAGTTCATTCATTCTTTCTCTTTCGATGCCCAATACCTTATTTTTTTTGTCCCCCACCAAAACAGGTGGAAGGGAAGAGGGCGCTGTCTGCTAAGCTGGGTGTTGAGAGCTTGCCACTTGAGCCTGGTGACAGCACCCTCATTTTATAGGTAAACAAATAGGGATGCTGAGTTATTACATAATTGTTTGAGGTCATGTAGCTAGAAAAGAGTGGATTTGAATCCACATCAGTTCTACTCTGAGGCCTATTATTTATTCTTCCACGAGAAGCATGTTTTAAGTAATTTAATTTCATTGACTGAAATTCTTCACACTATCTGTCATAGGCAATTTGCCCTTTATCTCTGTTTTTGAACTGGAAAACTATTCCTGTTAAAGGAATTACAGCTATCTGCAGACAGGGGAGAATCTGTTCTCAGTGGTAGGATGAGAAAGTATAAGTGAGTTTCTTTCTCTTGGTTTTGACGTCATGCTATGTTTTAGAGCTGTCTCCAGAGTTTATCGTGTGTGTGTGTTTGTGTGTGTGTGTTCTAAGATT